TTTCCTTTCGTTTTAAGTCAATAATTAAATTTAAAATTTTAATTTAATCGATACCAATATCCATGTTACTTATAATTTGAGTACAGTGACTGTACTGTGTATTAGAAAGCAATTATCATATAAGTTGCCTAAAAACGCGTAATGAATACCATTGTATATATTAAATTCGGAGTTCATTAATTTTATCGTGAATTTACATTATTTTGAATAATTTTATTATTTATAAGTTTTACTTTTTATGACATCATATTTAATGGGCAATCGATTACTCGGCTAATGGTTACCCAACTCACTCTAAATTGAAATATTGACACATTTATACAAATACTTTGAAAAATAACAAAATCATCTTCAGTCATATAATGATTTTTTAATTAAACGTTTATTTCTACAAACGATAATTTTGTTCACTATTTGATAAGATTAATAGCGAATTAAAATTCAATACTCAGGTTGCTAATTAATTTTTAAAAATTAATCTACAACACTTATCATTAAATTGTATTGTTAGTGATTAAAACAGTGACTAAATTAGGTATGATTATAAGTATTTCATAATTAAATGATTAGGAATCGAAAAACATTTTTGCAAGTAAACACATGAGTTGAATTAATTTTTAAAATGTTTTTTCACTAAATGTATATAAATATAAGGCTTTTTTGGCAAAACACAGGGAATTCTTATCTCAATAATTGGTTGCCTTAAGAAAAATTCTTAGGATTCTGAAAGACTTTTTTCTCCCAATATTTAGTGGTCTCTGAATATAATTTTCTGTTAGCAATAGTTTTATTTCTTTGTGAAGTGAAGTGAAGTTTATTTTTATGTTTTCGTCTCTACCTTATAGTGTGAGAAGTTTTTTTGAGAGGGAAAGACTCGCACAAAAAAACGGTGTGTCTTATCAAAAGTGTTGATTGAATTAATCAAACATAATGTTTGTCCAACACTTAGCCAAGTATTTTGCAGCCAACGTATCGCCAGGAATAGTAATTTTACGATCGCTTTCATCATTAAATTCACTCTATTATTGATTTTCGTGAAAATTTTAGATCTTTTTTATTTGATTTTATAAGGAATTTGGAGAAAAAGAAATTCTTTGCCAATAAAAAACTTCTAAAACAAATAAAATAATATTAAATCAGTTAATAATGTGCTTGGCATAATGTATATGTATGTGTGTGTTTAGAGTCTGACCAGTTTAGTTATTCTGAATTTGCCCTCAAATTAATTGAAACATACAATGGTGGGGCGGGGCGCACATGTATTTAATACTATAATGTGCTTGGCATAATGTATATGTATGTGTGTGTTTTGAGTCTGACCAGTTTAGTTATTCTGAATTTGCCCTCAAATTAATTGAAACATACAATGGTGGGGCGGGGCGCACATGTATTTAATACTACCCATTGTTTGTTTTTTGAAGCCGTTTTTGAAAAATTACACACAAATTAGTGTTTAAATATTAATTTTTAATACGGTTATACTGCTTTTTAAAAATTGAGTCCTTGCCCACTATAAATGATTTATTTGGTGAGCGCGTAATATATATAAATCAATGGCATTAGTGTCAGACAGTTGTCCCAACTTTCAACACAAAGACCTTTATTTATTCGAGGCATTAGTAAGGGACTGGACATGTATGTTTTTTAGGTAAAACCTCAGAGGATCCTTTTTTAGTGCTTTTCTAGTGTCAGGGGATATCATAACATTTTCGTGCCTACCCTCTGGTCCTGTAAATCAACACATTGTCTCCCATACCATACCTATGAGAAAAAAGTGATGCTCTGAGACATAAAATATTTTATTTATTTCAAAAGCCTATGACAATAATTACATTTCAATTTATACTTAAAAATACACTTCAGACCATTTTGACTCGGATTTTATATGACAATATATTTTAATTGAATAACAAAACCAAAAAAAACTAATAAACTTTTAGGGTTTGGAGTATTGTTTTTGTTTTTCGTATGCAAACTATATTTTGCGTAAACATGAATGCCTTAAATTCAATAAATGAAAAATTGTTTTTTGATTAAACGCGTGAATTGAATGAATAAAAATGAAAATTATTATTTTAGCTGTACTTTTGAGTGAATACATTAACTATTTGTAAACATTTATATTCATGGCTTAAATTAATTATTTTTGTTTTTTATACACAAGTTATCACTTTTGCAAACGCCTCGAAGGCATATGTTATTCGAGATATAATTCTATACCAATAAAGAAATATAAGTAATAAAACATCAAATAAATTGAACTTCAATTTGTGTTTCGTATGATTTAAGTCATGTTTTTCTCTCAATTTTCTCTTATTTTTTTTATTGAATGAATAAACATTTATAGCAAAATAAATATTCATTCAGAATGCAATATAATAAGTAAAACAATAATGCATTTATTATAAAGATTGCACATTAGCTTCGTTTTCCAACACAGTTTGCAAAATCAATAAAATATGCGTAAAAATCATTAAAAGCCAAATGTTTATCACTCGCGACTGTCATTAGCGTATTGATCGCTAGAAATCTTTGAGTTATTTGCGTTAAATTTAACACAATTTTAAATACTCTTAGTTACATATAAATCTATCCTAATATGATATACACTTATTTTCGTATGAAGTATACAAACAGATTCCGAATACATATAAAGAATCCCTACATTTGACGGCCCTATTGACAGCACCGACCTTTCAAAATAAGCCGATTCTTTATCGGCGCCTCATATCTAGCATTTAATATTAATTTTAAGATTTCTACTGTCATTTGAGTCGATATATTTTTTAATAAGCTGCAAATTCTTTAGTGGGAATATCTATTTGAAAATAGGATTTTTGCCAATTTATTCGGTTCATAATTTTAAATAAAGACATTTTGAAAGGTATGTCCACATAATATGCATATGTGGAGCCCCCAAAAGTCCGGTGAATTATTGAGCCTTTGAAAAGTAAATTATAGTATATATGTATTTTCTATGTACAAAACGTGGGGCTTATTTGTGCTTCAATTGGTTCCCATTGTGAGCGCTAATAGAATAGGAAAACACAATAAGCAATAATAAGCAGTTATAATATTTGGAGTTCAAAAAGTATATTAATAATAAAATGGTTGCAAATTTCAATTATTAAGATCGCTGTCTGTCTGGCATTGAATTAGTGGAGAGTTTTACGCATCATTTGATTGGAGTGAAGAGACGGCTCAAAACAATAGTACAGACTTTGAGTGGAGTAGTAGTAGTGGTGGTGGTGGTAGTGATGGGTAGTGGCGGTGGTGGGTAGTGGTGGTGAAGCGCTGGACACACGCATGAATGCATTACCAGTGGAGACAAAAACAAAGTTTTAGAGCCATTGATGCCATAATAGTATAAGAGATGATAGGAGTCTGTATTGAGACGATTGGGTATAGAGAAGAGCTTAGGATATATGAGAGAAAATATGAATTGATAAGCAATGATAAGTGGATCTACAGTCTAGAGTACGGGAGAGTATGTATGAGAGAGAGAGAGTGTGTGTGTGTATGGAGAGTTGGTGTTGCGATGGATGTTATTCTATGTATTTGTTTGAATTGAACAAAGGATGACAAATCAAATGACAGGCTTTCTATGCGATTGTCTGCACAAACCTATTATTAGTTTCAATCCATTATGAGTGCAGTCGACGCGACTCCCAGTCTATCACTGGGGGTATCACTATATGAATGGCTATGGTATGGTTGAGAGCGATATTATATTTATTCATATCTACAATATGTACGACTAGTGTGTGTGTGTCGCACACAGAATAGGCATAATTTGAGGTGCACTACATGGCTATGAGTGCCTAACACAGCACAGCCCTAATGCATTGACAGCCAATTGAAAAGATTCTTTATTATATGTCAAAATGTATGTATGAACACAATTATTGAGTTCAGGATTAAACATAATCGGGTGGTTCGCAAAGTATGCTTATTAACAAAACAAGAGGTTGGCCCACCTATTCAAATATGACGCAGGTTTGGCCCACAGGGTATAACTGAATTAGCCGACAGCACCACCATTACAACCATCGCTAATATATTTTCGCTGCAAATATAGAGCTAAAAAAAGGAGATGAGATGGACCTCCAAAGAACTCATATTTATTAACTCCTATATTATTATGTAATAATGAGCACATTCTTGCCATCAGCTCCCCAACTAATTATGACTTAATTCGCATCCAAATCTATCCCAACTTTCCATCTCTTCCTTTCCCCTCCGTATTCACCCCTTTATACGAAATAATTGTCGGATTCCACGATTCTGTACATCACTTACGAGTATTACATGTATATATGTATTGCTTATAATGAGAGTTTTAATGCAATTTTTATTCTTAATTATATCAACAATTAAATGATTGCACTTTTCTTTTTTAATTATATTTATCGAGAAATATTGAAAGCAATGCCAAATCGATGCTATCGTACAGTCATTGAATACAGTGAAGTAAATCGATGGTAACTATGATGCGATGCTCTCTCAGTCGCATGTGATATGCTATAAGGGATTACAAACAGCACTAAAATCATAGCAATGCACAAGTTGTGCACATTTATAAAATATGCAACGTTTGGAGTATTACTTTCAATGCCTTAATCTGTCAAAAGAATTATCAAACGTATCAAAAATATCGTGTCATTCAAAATAAAATCAAAAAACATTTTTGAAAAATCGTTTGAATAAACAGATAGTTTAATGACCAGAACTACAGCAGCGAAAATGTCTAATCCATGAGATTTGCATTTAAATCATTTAAAAACTAATTATTTAAACGACTTGTAACTTTGTTTTTATCACTTATTTAATTATATAAAGTGAGAAAAGGGTTAAACAGTGTCGGGGAGGGCTATAAATGCCTAGAATACGGCTGTCTCTCTCTCTCTCTCTAAAGTAGGCTTACATTATGTAAAACACGTTTTGGCTGTAATTGCATTATTAAATATTCAAATTTTGTTTGTTTCACGTTTAACACACAGAATGTTCCCATCATTTCGCATACGTGTGTCTGGTTTGGACAAAAAGGCCAAATACATAATGCTTATGGATATCGTGGCCGCCGACGACTGTCGCTACAAGTTTCATAACTCGCGATGGGTGATGGCCGGTAAGGCGGACCCCGAGATGCCCAAACGCATGTACATCCACCCGGACAGCCCCAGCACCGGCGAGCAGTGGATGCAAAAAGTGGTCTCATTTCACAAACTCAAACTCACTAACAATATCGCCGACAAACATGGCTTTGTGAGTATCAATATTCCAGTGAGAGACCATTTCCGAGCCAGGCCCACTAATCACACCATTAATTGTCCTTGTTGTATGACCACCATATAGACAATACTGAACTCGATGCACAAGTACCAGCCCCGATTTCATCTAGTCAGAGCCAATGACCTCCTGAAACTGCCATACAGTACGTTCCGAACCTATGTCTTCAAAGAGACCGAGTTCATTGCGGTGACCGCATATCAAAATGAAAAAGTAATTATCACTTCATTTCTCTATAAGTTATCACTAATACTACTGTAGAAAACCACTAATGATTGCCTCCAAACACTGTAAGCACTCAAACAATTCCTTATTACCGCTTACTTACAGATTACTAGATTAAAGATAGATAACAATCCATTCGCCAAAGGCTTTCGGGAAACAGGAGCCGGAAAGAGAGAGAAAAAGTATTAATTTTAATTTCATAATTCATTTTGATGTAGACTTTTTGTGCTAAATGTTAATTTTTGTGGTGTGTGTCAAAGCAGACAAATAGTGATTGGGATGAATAACAGTCGATCTCTGGCTTACGAAAGTGATAACGACTTGAAGAATATGACGTCAGGAATGTTAGACAAACTGAAGGAAAGCGATAAGACATCCGCTTTGGACTATTCCGATGACGACGAAGAGCGGGTCGACATCGACGACGAGATGCCTGTTATCCGCAAAACGCCGGACAGAACTTCTGCGGACAAAGGAGAAGGTATGCCATTAACTCATTCATACTATGCGCACAATTAATGACTGGACACTCTGCGTGAGGCCAGAGATAATTGAATTAAAAGTGCAATTAAGCAAATTGTATGCGAGATGTGTCTGTTTGGCATTTGGCCCGCACTCTGCCCATTGCCAGCGCTTTTTCCACTCATATGTCTCTCGCTAATGACATTTGTATTTCATCTGCGAGTCGTTTCAATTGTGCGAATGTATGCAAAAAAGTTTGCGTTCACTATATGTTGGGTACACTTTGAATGCATGCCTTCTCCGCATCACTGCATTGACAGCAAAGGATCTCTTGTTCCGAGCGCTCCATCCTCTATGAGCTCTCAGTTACGTTGCAATCCATGCCTAACACATACAGTCGGAGTGTTATGGTAGCGCCGGTGCCGGTGCCCTATGCCGGTGCCAAATGCCTACCGCGTTGTCGACGGCAAAGAGTGAGCTATAGTTTGTCTGTTTTAAAGGGAATTTGTTGTTCGCATTGATGCCAGTGTTCACGCTTTCGGTGGTCTGGCATGAGATGGGATGTTGTGTGCAGTTTTGTGCCATTTATGTAAGAAAATGTATAGCATAGTATGCATAGGCTTAGGGGACTGGGATTCTGGTGTATAATTAGTGTCCGTGACGTACGACAGAAACTAACGTTTTTCATATATAATTTATGGCATTCATCGTTCATTATATGGGCGCGGATTGACAATATTCACATGTCGGTGCTGTGCTGTCGGTGCTCTGTGCTCGCTGTCGATCTTTTGACTTCATTAAAGCGATATTAAGTATACATTCGTATGAATGCTATGAATGTTATGCTGTTTTTTCATATATTAATAGACTGTCTGCTCAAAACGTTTACATCTTTTGCATTCATTTACTATTTATGTAATATTTGCAAACATTATATCATATATACTGTTAGCTCTCGTATACTGTACTCGCATTTATGCCACTTTTGCCACTCTTATGCATATTAATTGAGTCGTGAGTTGTTATATGGCGCCAAACCTCTGTTTAGGACCTATGCCTCTATGCCTCACAAAATTAATTGTTTGCCTCATCTCCACATTAATCTATACATTATAATACATTATACGTTCAGTACATACAGTATAGCACATACACACACTGACTACATAACCATTAATGAAGTTCTCTCTAATCCATTACCAATTCTGGAACTCCAGCTCTCTTTCTAAAACCAATTTTGCGAAATACTATTATATAATATCATACTTATGTAATGTGGTCCTCATGTAAAATAGGTAGTATTCATTAGGCGTACTTACAATTCCTACTACTCTTTATTTTAAACTCTAAATTCAAAGCCTGCGGCCAAACAAAGCTTTCGGAGAAATTAAAATAAAATATTTACATTCTGTGCTTTACTTTTATGATCTCTATTTCATACACACACTGAATAATTTCTTGACATTCATTGAAAAATAGATTAAATTGAATTTCATTGCACTTAACTGCCATGAAATATATGCAATTCTGTTGCATTAAAAAACTTTATATAAATTAATATATTCTTCAATGCAAGAAATGCAAACAACATTAATTAGATTTACTTTTCTTGATATGAATTCTTCATGAAAATGATGAATTAATTATTTAATAGACGTTAGAATAACACCACTTTTTTATTAGTAAATTTTTAACATGGAAATTTTTAATTAAATTTGATTTTTAAATTTTTTTATTAGGTATTACCTTATAGTAGTGCATTGTTTAAGTTTCAATTTAAATTATTCTTGTGTTTTCACAATATTTTGTATTATTATCACAAAGTCATTATAAGCAATGGAATATTGTATCAAATATCAAATTAGTTAAACTGAAATTTAATATTTAGACTTTTTATACAAATTATACTTCAAAACATACTCATTATGTTATATTATGGGTAATTAGCAATAGTTAAATATAAATCATGAGCATTTTCAAGTTTATAGCATCTTTATTTAAAAAATTTACTGCATTTAAAGCTAGTTTTTTATTAATCACAATATTTTTCTTTTTTTAATAAGTTGTTTAGTAAATCAAGTAATATTGAGAAAAATTGGTTTAATCTGAACATCTCGACTTTAAATAATAAATATTATCAAATAAAATAAAGCTCCAAAAACACATGTCGACTGATAGGTATTATTAACAAAACAAAGTTGCGTTCAAAATATAAAAGTCCTTTTAGGAGTGGAGTGGAAGTTGAGAAAAGTATTCATTAGAATTTAAAATTTAATGACTAAAGCAATAAATAACACATTAAGGATACCTTTATTTCACTTAACATTTTTGAGTAAACAATATCTAATCTAAAAATATTTAGTCCTCACAGGAAAACATAATTTTGAATTCATTTCCTGAAATGAGACCATTTAGAGGCAGGAACAGGACTTTCGTACATATGAATGAAAATTATAAAAAGCTTTATGTATACTGTATTTTTTCACTACTATTTATCTCAAAAATATCGTATTAATAGAAAATACATTAAACATTAAATGCTATATTTTTGAATAATTCTTTCGAGTATACTTTACAACATACATACAAATTGCATACTAACAAGTAAGATGTATTTAAATAGTAGAAGTTTAAGTTAAATATAAGGTATATAAACGTAGACATGTGTGGAGACATGAGATCAATGAAAAGGTGTAATGTCTTTTGCTAATATTGGTTTAAAACGTATAACTTGTCATTAGTTTTGGAGAAACATTTTTCAGATACAAATGATTTCAAGCGAAATTCAGATTCTTGTTTAATATTCTTGGTACATTTCAAAGTATAATGAATGCTTGGATTGGTATTTGTTGTTGTATATCATTGGGAACGTGAAATGCTTTGTCGCCAATTGAACATAAAATGATAACTCATATAATTATTGGTAAGTCTTGAGTAAGAATTTGAGTGCGAAGTGATCCCAATGTAAAGACTTTATTGAATAAAACTCGTTTCAGAGCTGACTATTAGTATGGGAGAGGGGGGGGGGAGAGTGAGGAGTCCCTGTCTTTCCTTTTTATTACAACTAACATAAGTATTAGAAGACAAATAATAATAGTCTTTATTATTATATAACTAATCGCACGACTGGAGTCTTATTTAAAAAGGCATTACTTTCCATTGCGATGACAATAGTAATGCTTTAAGAAATTCATGTCTTGTTTTTTGTTATCAAATAAGTATATAATTTCACACATTTTCTCTCAACACTATAGCCTATGATTTTTTGTTTTCACTCTCGTTTTGTGTGCACTTTTTTCTCGGGTTCACATACGATAATAGTTTCAAAATATTATTTTTCACTTTTTAATTAATTGTAATTCTGATAAGAGATATGTCTGTTAATCGAAAACAAAGATTGCCTTGATAATTATATGGGCTTTAACTTCGACTAAATGTCATAAACCGGCGAAAAAATGAGCGAAAATGGGATGCGTTTAGAGCACGTAAAGCACTGATCGTATCGTAAGTCCTAATTAGTCGACTCTTTTCGCTCTGTATTCAGCTTTTCGATAGTAATGAGGAGAAGCCAACTATTCATCCCAACTGATCCCGGCATCAAAACAACTGCTCTTACAGTTTGCATCCATTGCGAGCCCACCGTCTGGTCGATCGACCGCCAATCAGTTCACATTTTTTAACGATCATTCACTATATCGGAGAGAATAGTATGAGAGAGAGAGAGAGAGAGAGGATGTTGCGAGTTAGGGTGCATTTGATCACTTGAAGTGATGTTTGTAATGGTGTACAACGAAACGACTCGCAACTAATTGTCAGATACGATACATTGAAAGAGCACTTCTCCGCAAAATAAAGTTATTTAAGTTATGCCTAAACATTAAGTCAGCGTTGAGTCGCCCCTCCGCGAGAGCCCCTCCAAAACAGACACCAAATTCCTGAATCTTATAAACGCATAAATTTTGTTTTGAAACAAAAAACAAATTAAATTCTCGTCTAATAGTCTCGTTTGCGATATGTTTTTCTAACGCATTTCAAAATGTTTTGTTTCAGAAGTGATGGCAAGTATTGATGGAAAGGATGGAGAAGTGAGCAAAAGTGTGACCAACAATAGCAACGACCGCTGCAATGATTATCACCCGTCGGACCTGAACTATAGCAACGCATTCAATAGTAGTCTTCTGTATGGTCTGCCGCCAGTCATTCCTCGCCTATACTCGACTCCCGGCGCACCACTTCATGGCACTAATGCTTCCGCCGAAGAGGCAGCCGCTATGGCACGACTGTCCGCCGGGTTGGGGGCCATGTCTGGTTGGCCCCCATTCCTGGCGCCCCACCATCAGGGCTCGGCCTCCCAGTGTGCGCCCAACACGTTTGGATGCGGTTCGTCACCGTTCGCACCGACCAACATGTCGTTCCCCTTCTTCGCCGCCTCGTCGCTGGGCTTTCATCCGTTAGACTTCTCGTCAATGAGACTTCCGATGAGCGGGTCGTTACCCATGAGTGACTTTGACCTCAAGGGTCTGGACCCGCGAGCTGTGCTCAGTGCCTATATCGGAGACCTCGCTAACGCGCGACTCATGAACCCCGAGCCGACAGTGCCTTTGACGCCACCCAACAACGCCGCCAACGAGTCATCGTCCGTACGCTCTGTGTGTGAGTCGTCGCCAGTGGGCGGCGGCGGTGCGGGTCGAGTGATGGCCGACAGTCTGCAGGAGAGTCGCGATATGTTGGCCGCACTCAACAGCGCGAACCAGCGCTTTAAGGCAGTGAGTGGTGCCCAACAAGCACTCGGACACCGCTTCTTCCCCTACAACGTCAGACCATTTCTACTCAATGCTCAACAGTCTGTCCAACAACACAGGCATTCGCTGACGTCGCCCATCGACAAGTTGACGGACAAGAAGGTCGGCCAAAACGGACAGAACGGCCAAACAGTGTCTCCAAACCAGTCTCCGCTCAGCAATAATTCCAATGAAAGTCATTTGAGTTCCGGTAAGAACTCGTCGGAAGAGCACTCGCACCGCATCACGAATACCGGGTCTCCGATACCAGAACTCAAGAATATTCAGCGAATGGTGGAGGGGTTGGACACTCGAGGGACCCCCATCTTTGTTCCTACGACCGTCGCCTCATAGACACTGGCATTCAGTGCCGCGCATAATATTAGCTTAAAATATTGGTTACGAATCGCTGATAAAGTGACTCTCATTTGCAATTCAATGGTCTGCTGGGGTTTCCATACAATTCATACCAAATACAGACAATACATATGAATACGACAATAAAATGTACAACAAATGCAGCAAAACATGTATTACAATACGATATGACTGTTCTCTCGTATTAGTGTCTAATGTCATTGCGATCCTCCTTCTTGTCAGTCCATATTTCCTCCAAATAAGCATTTTTTGATTGCAATTCAATTCAATTCTTCATTTCAATGCTTCTATTATTATGTCTCCCAATTGGATGTCGATGTGGACGGACAGACATCGCTGACCACTACCGCAGATATGCCGTATATATATATATATACATTATATTTTAATGTTATTTACAAACACTAATTGTATACAACCATTAATTAGACTTAAAAAACAAAACTTCCTTTGATCGGTTCACTCGTTTAATTCAAAAAATAAGAAATTGTTATTTTAATTCTCGATATTATTTCCAAATGTAATGTAAAGCCAAATATTAAGCTAAATATATTGCTATTTAGTTAAATGCATTGTATTATAAAATATCTTAATTTAATTAATATTATAATTGATATGAGATTACATTCAATTTTAAACCCAAATGTCTCCAATAATTATTAATCGCGAAAACTCACGAATATTATCGTAAATGAAAAAATAGTTATAAGTTTTCGTTTTAAATTATAAAATCAAACATAACTTCCTTTTGTTGTATAAGTAATGGATAAGCGTTTGCACACATTATTGCATAGTTGGGGGTCATATCGAGAGAGTGTTAACTAATAGTGTAATAATAGTGTTGCTATCAGTCGTTAAATATACAGATAGTATTGGAGAAACACATACTATCCAACCAATTGCTGGCACCGGTTACGAGACTGGCAATCAGGTTATATGAATAGCTGTGAATATCTTAGTTTAATGTAAATTTTGAAAACATTTTCCAAATATTTATTTATTAAAATTCAAACATTTTTTAAATCGATTGATATTTTTATTTACTGAGATGGCTTGAAATGTATTTATTTCAAACATTTTGTGTTCAGCGTATTTTTATTCTGATAAATTCTTGTGATTTCAACTATTTCTGTGCTATTTTAACAAACCATAACATATCGATTGGCATTCAAATGAACTCAAGTTTTGACAGAAAACTCTGCGACAAAAGAATTTCCATTTGTTTTGCTGTTTGTCTAATGAGAACAAGTCGTGAATAAGTGGACAGACAGTGATATTATTGATAAGGCTTTTTGAGTACAAATTTATTGTCAAATATATTCTGTTTTTGTTTGATGTAAGGACTGGACTATAGATTAAAGTAGAAATATGGGCGAAGAAAGCGCTGAATCCATAATAAGATGAAATGGATGTGCAGTGAGATGTCGGCAACGATGGCAGGGATGGTAGGGATAGCTTATGGATGGCATTGCGGACTTTGTCTCGACATGCGTAGGGCCGTAATGCGGATTTTGTAGTGTGTGTGGCACTGGTAGATATGACATGAGATGGTATGGTATGGTTCTGGTGGTAGTGTACATGGAATAGCATTAGGGAATGGTGTGGAATGGTATGGAGGCTCATGCGCTCGGATGGAGTGATGAATGCTTATGTATGGTATGGTTGGGTATGAAATGCTTAGGAGGAAACCCGCTGTTACGGTGGCGACGGTGTCATCTCTGTGCTCATCAAACCAATCACTATAGGGGTTGAAGACTCGCATTCAGTGTCTGAAAACAGGAAAAAGTTGTATATATTTTTTTCGTACAGGTATTGTATGGTGTATATGGTATGGTTTTTTAGGTATTGTTATTATGGTTTTCAAAACTAAATGGTTATGAATTGTTTGCAACAATATTTTGGCAAATATTTACTTATCTCTAATGATATTATTTAAGTTGATATACAATTTGGAGATCACTTCTCTGAAAGCCTAATTCAGTTATGCAGTCATGCGTTCATCACTTGCATAGCATTTTTGCAGGACATCCCTCATAATGGCCACAATGTTAGGTGAATTGTAGTGATGATAACATAGTAGGGCTAATAGTATAGTAACTTAGGGGACACTGATTGTTCACTGTCAGGGGTGTATTTTAGACTATTTAATCATTAAAATTGTTACGTTTACTCACAACAGTCCCTGTGCCTACAGCATTATCACTGGCACTGATATGTTTGCCATCAATAGAGTGTAGTATTTTTTAAATGAGGGATTACCTGCACTCTGCCTGTGCCTGTCTGTAATGTTTGCATTGGTCTATAAATTATATCTTATGCCAACTAATTAGTGATACCATAGCATAGTATAGTTTGTGTAGAATTTTTCACTCAAACAGAATTTATATGTATATACACTCACACACAGTATGAGTAAGTTATATGAGTTATACGAGAACTGGGATGCACTGTATATATCAATACAATAACTAATATATGTGTATACGATATATAGACACATAAGTTATAAGCCATACCTGTGCGATGGGCACATATACAGGTGAGTTCGTGCCTTTGTGAATGAGTTTGTGAAAGCCCCCCAACGCACGGCAGGTTTCTTGGAGCCACATATCAACAGCCTGTGTGCCCGAGCCTGTAGGAGCTGGGCTATGGCTATGGCTCGTCGATGAGTGCCATCGCCAGCGCACAGGCAGCTTAGGCACAGGCAGGTTGAGGTTGGAGTTTAAATTAGATACTCAAACTGCAGACACTCTAAATTATCGCTGCAGTAGAGCTGTATGTGTGCTGTGTATTAGAGCCCATAGAGAAGCTCATGGATGTGCTGACTATTTGTTTTAAAAATCCTCCCCTTATGTGAGCCTAAACTCATCAGTATATCCCTCATGTCATTCGACTCCGGAGTTTAAGGCACCAAATCTATATGAATAGGCGACCAAACGGCGCCCATAATCTGTCAGCCCCTCACGACCCCTCTCTCTCTCTCTCAGCCATAGTAGTGGAGAAAAGGTGGTCACAATTTAGTGCCCCTCTTCACGCCTAGCACTTGAGAAGTTAGTCTTTTTAGCTTTTTTTGTTATGTGTGTTTAGGTTTTGCTTTCCAAAAGCCCTACAGCGCTAAAACTAAATCAACCAAAATATCAGCCGATCTACTCGTAAATTACATTCACAGACATCGCGAAAGGCGCCCCTCTTTCCATGTTCTTCCACTTACCACTATCTATGATACCTGTGACTCCACTTGTGATACCTGTGATACCTATGATACCTGCGATACCTGTGCGCTGTGATTGCCATTTCCAGTGCTTCTCCTCATTCCTATCATTATCTCAATACTGTGTGAACGCATTAATATATATTATACACCGTTTGGCTCTAAACCTGTAAAAGGACTGTAAAGTACCTAAACTATAAAATTGTCACAATCAGTGCGATCAGCTATCAGTGCCCAGATCCAAATGAAGGCCTGTCCTCTTCGCATCCCTGTGCATCATAAACACACACAACTGGCCTCCAATATCGCAATTAATTGCACTCAATATGACTCATGAAGTACTCACACAACACATGATTTACGGACTAAAATCAATATTAATGATAACGACTCTAAATAAGGCTTTACTTTAAGCAAACATTATCTTTAATTTTGCACAAAAAAACTTACAATTTATCCAAAAAAAATTTATTTTTATTTTCAAAAAAACAAAAAACATAACACATATACAGAGAGAGAGAGAGAGAGAGAGAGAGAGAGATTGTGGATTAATAATAAGGTTTAACGAAAAATTGCAAACATTTCATAATTATCTAAATAAACACAAATAAAAATATATACCCAAAAATGTTATTTTATATATTCAAAACAAGTAATTAATCATTTGTTTTCTGTATAAAACTATAAGCAATTAATCGTATAAGCAAGAATTAATATAAGAATGTGATTAAAAATTAACTCCAATATAAGTATTTGCTCACAAAAATTCATAATTGATTTTTATTTATTCATTTCACACATCATTCTCATCGCCAGCATTAGCTCTCAGAAAAATAGTCTGAAACCAATCTAAACTTTTAATCAAAACATTTTAAGTTAATTAATCAAATCATAATTAATTGAAATCTGATCTTTCGTCGAAATGTTGTTCTCATTTAAAAATTCTTGTGTAATAAGGTGCTCATCAAATGGTGTGGTGTCTGTCCATTATCTACCTGTGCTCTCTGGCTGCTACTGGCATAGTCGACACAATATTATCAGTTTATTAATTGGTATAAATTTGTTAATAAAATCAAAAACAAATTTAATCGAAACACTAATTTATTGCCAGTCATTAGACATATCAGTGTTTTTTGACATCAATTTTCTCAGGAATAAGTTGAAATGTTTTATTTCGATTAATTAGTTTAAAGTTTTTATCTTGAAAAATAAAATTAACAGGCAATGAAATAATAAAATTATATTATTTTATATAATTTTTTACAATAACAATTGTATTTGAATAAAAATTTGCAAATAATGTCATTATCATTATATTAATAGCATAATTTCTAAATAATTATTGTATTTGTATAGTATTTGAAGTTATAATAACTTAGTATTTAAATCAAATGATAGCATTTATTAGATATTAATATAATATAATAAAGAAAAATCAATAGATTCTTACCACTAATTTTTGCTTATAATTATATTTCCTAAATGTAATTTGCAGACCAATATTCAATACAACAGTATACTAGTAATAAATGATTGCCTTAAAGCTATTTATTAAGATTTATAGAAAATTATTTAATTGATTAAACTTTTAATTTCACGTATGAAATTTAGATATATTTTATTAATAATTTTTTCAATATTGTAATAGAATATAACATGCAGTATACTGTAGTATTAATTAATTAATTATTTATTTTAATTAAACAATTTTTGTCACCAAAATTCTATTAATTAAGTCTGAATTTCACTTTTTTATATAAAAATAAAATATTATTTTAATCTAATTTTAATTAATATTATAATAATTTTCTAAATTTATTTTAAAAATATAAATTCAGATTTCCAGGAATGTAGCCATAATTGACAGGAATTACTATAAGTAGAAAATGATTTACAGATTCTGTTTGTTATGTTTTTCTGAGTCCATTGAATGCAATTGTGTGAACACACGAAGACAATGGCATTCCGTGTATTAATGTTTAGCAAATGTTATGAGAAGTGGTGCACAAAAGTGTTTGTCAACTGCAAAATTTGAATATCCCTTGTTTTGTACGGCAGTTAAACTTTTTTGATGAGTTATAAGCGCTTCGTTTAACACAAATATATTTAATGAAAAGGCACTGAAAGCCCGCATTTGGCTCTATGTGTGCATCACTTGACGTGATTCTCATTTATCAATATATTGTGGAAAATGTGGTGAAGTTTTATTGTTTGGCCCGAAATAAAAAAAAAGTTGACAAAAGTATGGCTAAAGTGGAAGCGCCGGCAATTGAGGAAAGAAATCAATTGCGATCCGGACTCACGATTTCCTGTCATTTTATACTCGAGAGCCGGAGTTTGTGTCGTTTGGTATCGCTTTGACTGAACGCATCCCTCGAGTGACGCATCATATCATAGACTCCGTGCCATTACTCCGCTGGTAGAGCACTGGTAGTGGTTGCCGGTGGTAAGGGTGGTAAGGGTATGGCTTTTATAAGTAATGGTGTATTTATAATGAAATGTGCTTTTTGTCAGCAAAGGATATATATATGCGATGGACGAGCAAAATGGTATGAATGGAGAGTGAGATTTCACTGACAAGTGGAGAGCGCTGGTAGTAATGGTAGTGATGTTTGATATGCAGTACTGGTGTCTAATAAACAGTCTCTTAAGCATATGAATGGCTCGCCTGATGCGAGTCATGCGAGACGTTTCCGTGAGTGGTATTTGCTATTCAATCGTCAATATTATAGACACAGTTGTCCTCAACGATCGACTATAATGTGCGCCGAGAAGTCATTAAAAAGTGAAAACCATTACAACCATTAGGCCATCGCAACCGATTGTTATGTTATGTGTGTCCACGACAGCCATATATTATATAATAAAATATATGAAATGCTATATAAGTTTTATACAATATTATAATATTCGTGATAAGCCTGAGCTCTCCTTTTCTAAAACGCGATATTGATGTGAAAAACGACAGGAAAAGTGCTGAAAAAGTGCTGAATTCAACACGTTTTAAAGTCACGCGATTGGCATATCATATAAACTAAGGCTCCAAATATAGTCGTGAAAATCGATGCATTAACTTATAATTTCCTTCCCTTTTGCCGATCCATGAGAGCCAACCATCCATATTATGCGACACTTGTATGCCATCGACAATCATATCAATTCAAAAACTCGCAACCACTCAACACTCGTATCCAAATCCAATACATTTCCCATTTGCACTATACTAGACATACATTACACATAAACTTATTTGTAATATATTGCACTCTAAGTACTTTACACTAAGTATGAGCATTGTTCAGTAGAAATCCTTATGGCAAAATCTTTATGGTCTAAATCTGCAATTTGTTTGTCACGATATCCACCAAAAAACGAGTCAATTATGAGAAATATTAAATTATGTATTCATTGTATCTAAAGATGATCTCTACTTCTGTTTCCCCTATTATCTGCCCTCAACTCAAATAATGCATAATTTCTGGTCTAAAGTTTTTTACGATGTGTTTTGTGGTACAAAATAATGGTATACTTGGGGATAGCAATGATGTGGGCTTACAAATGATGGAAGTGTGACATCAAAATTGTTTGCCCAAGAAATATGTTAAACCATTAACTATACTCCACAGATAATGTTTATTTTCTTGCACATAAACATCACTTTACTCGTCAATAAGTTATTTTGAAAGCTATTGAAAACTATGAATATATTAAAAATTTATTGAATTTCACATTTTTGCATATATTTTATTGGGTTTAATAGAAATCAAAATTTAGTTTTTGTAATAAAAATATTATTTTGACAATAAAAATGGTCTCAAACGACCATTAGAGGCAATGAATATATCATAAGTTAATCAAATAAATAAATATTACATTAGAATATAATGATGAGATCATTGATAGCTATTATATCAATAGTCGAGCGCTTAATGTTTATATACAAGTCCAATTTATATTAAAAAAAATATAATCTTCAAATAAGAATTCATAACAATTTATAAAACTATTAAAATTGATTATAATTTTTGAGATCCATATCTCGCAAAAAGGAGTTTAATACCCAAACAATAATACGTGAATACAATGAGAAAGGCACTGGTATTGTAAGCAATGTTCAAAATTGTTTGTTCAATCATTTGATCGTAAGTTTTTGTAAAAACAAGTTTTGCGTGGAAATTGAGCTGTGATTCCGTCTCTGCGATCCACTTCTACGGGCTTTTGTCCGCATTTTTCAACCTTTTTTCTCAAATTTATTTCAATCGTATTATTATTATATTTATAAAACTGCAAAATTGTTTGATTTATTCATTGTGTATTTTTCTATTAATCTAATCTTTTGCATCTAAATTTAAAAACTACACACAAATTGTTTTTGTTAAATGGTTTCAACTCTATTCCTAAACTACATTTTTAATTGTCTCTTATAAATGAAACAATAATTTAGCTAAAAATCAAATTAAAATCAAACCTAATCTAAAATACATTTTAAAAACCAGGCTTTTCATGCAATCCGTTTGAAAAAGTTTTTTTGAAATATAACTTTTAGTATCGAAACTAATTTCATAATAAGCCTTAAGTTAAATTGTATATCAAATTATATTGAATACTCAATGCGCCGATAGTTTTTTGTCATATCTTAAATCCGATCGATAGTAAACTAAAACCAAAATCAAAATTCAATTTGAGAAATTAAATAATTTTTAAAGCATAATTAATAAAAACCATAAATTAATTCTTGTGACAACTTTTACATTAAAAGATCGTTTCTGTGCTTATTAAATGTAATGCTAATACAGTAATAATATAAGGTTTTAAGTCAATTACATTTTTATATAGATAACATTTAATGATATACTTTTATGCTTGTTATGTTATTTATTTGAAATTATATTTCAAAATAGTATATTAAATAAAAATCAATTGTCAACAACAATATTATAAATATTTACTCATGTAGTAATAAAATATAACTTTATTCAGAATAAGATTTAAATAATTCTTAACATAGAAAATAATTAACAAATTATGAACACATTATTTATATATTATATCTACAAATACATTCATAAAATTAGTTGCCAATAAATGTAATTTAAATCTATAATTACCAAAAGTAATGAAATTAATAAAAATTTGCAAACATTACCGTAAATATAGAGGAAATTAAATTATTCGTAGGGAAGAGTCAAATGTTATAAGTTTTGATACTTTATATTAGGTTACGAGGAGTTGAGCCAAACTGTGAGCTTTGTGTGCCATCTGAACGCCAATTGAAGGGAACGACTGCTTGGGTGGCAATACTCCACGAACTACTGTAGTCTCTCTCTCTATCTACTGATGCAAACCTCTCATAATTAGTGATCTCGTGATGAATGGATGAGTCATTGGATGCCAAAAATCTTTGTTTGGATCATGAATTGCACACAAAAAAACTGTTTCTCCCTATAAAATGATTTTTGTCTAACTCTTGGCTAACATTAGTGAACGACATTCTCATAGGAGACGAACCGACAATTTAGTCAAAGTTTGCTTTTATCATCAAAATAGAGGCACAACTTCTCTCCTGTTTAATAGAATTTGTGTTTTCTTTGCATTTTCCATGTAATAGGCTTTCAATGGTTACACAATCATTGGAACTCTATATCAGTGGAGAGTTGATAGAGTTTGGAGGGTTTAAAAGTTTTGACACGTTAAATATACAGTAGTTTATACATTTCACATAAATACTGTAATTGTTTGCATTTATCAATGAATAAAATGTATGGTTTTAAAAATATTAAATTTGGATTACAACACTGTTATTTATAAAATTTATTTTAATTTAATTTTGCGCCTTTTTATTTAGTATTTATAAATTTTAATTTAAAAGCACTTGCATAATTAATACATTTTTCAATTCATATGAATATTATTTAATTAAAAGTTTTCATATGTGAGCTCATATATAGAGTTATTTGTTATATTTTTATAAATTTTTGTAAAACTATTTATAATTCCGATCACTTTATAGTGGTGGGACAT